AGACTGAGACTAAGGGCACTGGACAAATTAATCTAGAAGAAAAAAGATTTCAAGACAATCCAACGTTCAGGTTGTGGTATCAGTATTATCAGTTGCTTCTAGCCAGATTTATAGTGTTAACCCAGGGAAAAAGGAAGAGCTGAAAAGCTTGAAAAACTTGCAGCTTGGCCAGAAAGGAAGTACCTCTAAAGGTGGGGCAGGGCCTGGGATTTAGCTCAGTGGTGCCAGGGCCTCCCTCATAAGAAGAAGGTCCCGAGTTTGAACCCAGGTACAAAAAAAAAAAAAAAAAAAAAAAAAAAAAAAAAAAAATGTTGGGACTGAAAACAAGAGTGAGTTGTTGCTGAAAAGATGAGCATTAAAAAGAAGCCAAATACTTTACACTAGGACAGTAGGAAAGATGAGGAGAGCACCTGAGGAAAAGTCCAGACCCCACCCATTGGGGTATAAAAGGGCAAACTCCTTTAAACAACTTTGATTTGAGAAGAGTGCCAGCTGGGCATGGTGGCACAGGCCAGTAATCCCAGGACTCAGGAGGCTGAGGCAGGAGGATCACTGTGAGTTCGAGACCAGCCTGGGCTACATAGTGAGTTCCAGGTCAGTCTGAATTACATAGTGAAACCCTGTCTCAAAAACCCCCCCAAAATCAAAAAAACAAAAACAAAAGAACAACAACATAAAAAGTGATATAATGGTTGACAAAGCATTCTTTTGTCCCAGGGTGGGGACTGGGGTTTGGGTGGGTATGGTAGAGAGTAGAAAGGAAGAGAAACAGGTAATCTCATTTATAACTAATAGGAAGAATGCACAGCTGGGTGACATTTATCTTGTTTTATTTTGTTTTTTGGTACCAGGGATTGAACTCAGGGCCTTGTGCTTGTGAGGCAGGCACGGTGCCACTGAGCTAAACACCCAGCCCAAGGGTGATTTTTATATTTCTTTTAAATTAGAATTGCATATAAATCCTGACCCAGCCCCCCCATCACACTTCTGGGGATTAACCACACAGATATATAAATTCAAATGTGTAAAATAATACTTGCTTTAACCTTGCTAACTGTAGCATTAACTGGAATAACAAAGATTGGAAACAATATAAATGTTCATCAGTAATTAATTTGTTAAATAAATATGATTGATTCATCCACAGTAGGTTATTGTGCAGCTGCTAAAGAGATTGAGGTAATTTTGCATCTTGAAATGGAAAATATAACAGAGGTATACCTTCAAAATATAACACAGGTGCTGGGTGTGATGGTGCATGCCTGTAATCCTAGCACTCAGGAGGCTGAGGCAGGAGGATCGTGGTGAGTTCAAGACCAGCTGGGCTACAAAGTGAGTTCCAGGTCAGTCTCAACTACATAGTGAGACCCTGTCTCAAAAAACGAACAAAAAACCAAAAAACAAAATATAACAGAGGTATAACTACTTTTTTGAGTAAAATAGAAAATAAAACTGTATTTGCATCAGAAACTCTGGAAGAATATATATAT